GGTGACCCGAGGATGCCCACCTCCCAGATCAAGAGGAAGAAACGCCGGCACAGGTAGAGCCCCAGAGCGGGGCTGTCCCCGTCCGCACCCCCGCGCTGCTGCCACCATCCATCCCGCTGTCCCTCCGCTCCCCAGGCTGGGACGGTGGATGTCCCCGGGGAGCAAAGCGAAGGGCTGCAGCTGGGGTGGGAGGAGCATTTTCAAGAGGAAAATCTCAGCGGGGAGGGGGCTGCCAGCCCCACCGCTTGCCGTGAGGGTCTGGACTGTGCCACAGGGTGGTCTCTCCTCTTGGCAGGACGGTGTTCACAGCTCACCAGCTGGAGGAACTGGAGAAGGCTTTCAACGAAGCTCACTACCCCGATGTCTATGCCCGGGAGATGCTGGCCGTGAAGACGGAGCTGCCGGAGGACAGGATACAGGTAGGTGGTCGTGCCGGTCCTCTCTCCCCGTGGAGTCTGCGGCTGCCACCGTCTGGCTTTTTCCTTCTGCTCTATGGCCAACGAGTGCAGGTGGTGGGGACGTGGTGGCACCAAAATGCTGCAGACAGTGGGAATGTGGTGGCACCGAAATGCTGCAGGTGGTGGCAATGTGATGGCACCAAAATGGTGCAGGGTGCTTGGGGGGGTGGCTCAGCTTCCATGCCCTGGCACTGAGCAGGCTCCAAATGGAAATGCAGACCCGGTGGATGGAGCGGGCTCCAAGAGCTGCTTGCTGCTGGCAGATTGGCTCTGTCCTCTGGAGACCCAAGTCAGGCAGGAGCTGAGACCGATGCGGGGGCTGCTGGGCTGAGCTGTGTCCCACTAGCTTGCTCGCTAGCTTGTCCGTTTGAGGGATATGTGGTATTTTAGGGCCTGATCCTGCCCCACTGCAGAGCAGTTCATCGGCTTAAGAACGGGGTGGTACCCTGAGCAGCAGCCAGGCTGTACCCTTGAGTCTTGGTATGCAGGAATGGGGTGGGGAGAGGGACCTGAGCACCCTCTGACATCATCATCGCTGCATTATGGCCCCCTTTTTCTGGAGGGGCTGGTGCTCCATACGGAGGCGGAAGAAAG